TATTATGTACATTAGCTACTGCTGAACTGCAGGTGTTGACGATTGCCTTAAAAGCATTTGGCTTTGTACACTGTGTAAGCAGACTTGTATTTCACAAAATTCAGATGTGCTTAATGACGCTTGCAGTAATATGAGAAAAGAGATTTTATGTAATGTGAGAGCTCAGGATCACTGCTCATAAGAAAGTTTTCTTTCCTCATTTTAGAACCTTGGCCTATTTAACTTACAGAGCCTACTGTATTTTAACCAAAACTTACCTAAGTTGAGACAATATGGCCATACCTGACTCAGAATAATATGCCCAAGAAAAGATTAAAATGCCTGAATTGAAATGTGGTGATTCATTGTTGATATGCTGTGAAAACAGCTACCCTGTGTGTGCAGGACCTACAAGGAATCACGCCAAAGGAATCAGGAAGTACTTTGCTGAAATTTATAATATACAATAAACAAGTGACTTCATCTTTCTTTTTGCTCATCCTTTGTGTGATCTTTGGGAAAAATGTCTTTATGAAGGATTATTGAGGGCCCTTTTGGTAGGGAGATATTTACATTCTCTTAGTTTAGTGAGGAGAATAGCACAGAATAGGTTGGTCTGTTGGGAGGGGAAAGAAATGGCATTTGTGACTTGGAGCAGCTTAATGTAAAAATGGAATGTAGTGCGTTTTGTACCACTGTGGGTGGTCCATATTTTAAATAAATTTGATATGTGAAAGTTCAAGCTATTAAAATGATGAATAAATGGCTGTCTTTAAAAGTTATTTGCTGTACCAAGGTGTCCATTATAGAATTTCTTTAAATCTTTTCATTTCCTGGCAAAATAATAGGTGCTTCCTTTCCTTTTATCCTAAGAAAATAGTAACTGCATATTTTGTCTGAAATAACATTCCTCTCAAGCTCTTCAGGTGGGAAAGATGTGTTCAGGGAACAATTCTTTGAAGAATTGGATTGATATGGTTCAAGATGGATAACTATCACAGAATTTTCAAGTTGGAAGGGACTTTCTTTGCCATTCAATTTAATGTGAGTCCAAAGTAAGAATCGCTTCAGAAGTATTTCTCAGATTAAGATCCGTGAGGGGATAGAATTCAAACCCATGAGGTTTGGGGATTATGCTTTTAGGCACTAGGCAGTTACTGGGTCTTGAGAATGGAGTATAGAACATGGTCAGAGGCCCGAGTTGTGTGGTAAGGAGACTAGTCTGGCTCTGGCGCATAGGAATACTTGAAAGGGGCGAGACAGTGGAGGTAGAGAAACCAGCATGAAGGCCTTGCACATACCTGGATGTTGGGCACTGTTTGCCTGGATTAGTTACAGCAGTGAGTATGAAAGTATGGGACAGAGATGAAGAACATTAAGGTAGAAGACTCAATAGGACTTTGCAACTACTGAATATGGATAATAAGTAGAGTGACTCCAAGGTTTAAAAGCTGAGCTGCTTGGGATAATAGTGGTAGCACATATAATGTCCAAATCACTATCTTCTTATTTCGTGTTGTTTTCGCTTAGTATTTTAATAGCCTCAAATAATAAGGCTGTTGAGTATTATTTTATATCAATGTGCGCAAAATAAGTTGTAGATAAAAGATACTATTTACAAAGAAACTCTTTCATGAGAACCTCCTATGTCATAGAAAGAGTAAATGGAGGACCATTTGAAAGTCATATTTATAATAAGTGATATTCACTGATTGGCAGACTCATCTTGTGATATTTTAAATGACAGCTATGGCAATT